ACTATTTTGTCTACAAACTTTGTTAAATTTTATTTTCTATTGTTATATTTTATATATTAGATATGTGAACTTAGTTATACTCAAATTGTGTTTCTGGGTATTTGTGTTTTTGAATTGTTTCTTTTCTTTTATTCTTTGAAGTGCTATAAATACAGATTTTTTAACAAGCTTTGTCAATAAGATTGCATTTTCTTGGACAATAAAGTATATGTATATCTATCTAAAATTCATTTTTTCTTTCATTTATAAACTGATGATAGTCCTTTTATACATTTATATTGAATTTGATGATGAGCAAATTTGATTTGCTCAATGCACTATATGGTCATATACCTTTGTGTAGTTTGGCAGCAAAAATTTCCCGGACTTGCTTCACTTCATCCACCATCAACTGAGACAGGTTATAAAACTGTTCTGCCGTATACTGATCACCAACACCCTTCTGTTCGCACACTTTCAACATTGCACATCCAGCTGCTAACCTCAACCAAGACATCTCTGATTTAGAAAGCCGGCCAGACTGCAGTAAATCGCCTTTGTGTAAAATGAAAGCATTCAACATCCTGAATGTTTTTTGAGCCGAAGCAGTATCTTGTTTTAGTCCCAGAAGCCACCTGGCCATAGCTTTCAGGCCTTCCACCTTACATCTAGTCTCTTCAGGAAGTTGATCTTCGGGACACCAAGGATCTGAATCAGTTGTGTCAATTTCTGTTTCACGACCTTCCTTCACCAACAGTTCTTTGACAATCTGTAAGGAAAAATAAACTACAGAGCTAGTCATGGTACGGAACTACATAAAAAGTTGGACAAATTGTTCAAAGTGAACAACAATGTCTTTCAATTAGGAAGTAACATTCAAAGTATTTCTTGATAATTATACCTTGTACTATATTCAGTATACTCAGAAGAATATTTTTCAAGAACTTACCTTTCTTGAAACAATGTTTTTAATTTGAACCTTGTACCTATCGGGAATATTGAAAGCGATATGTCCCAAAGTCACAATGGCAGTCCTGTAATGGGCAGATGAAGGTGTAAGATTATCTTTAATTGTATCCAGTATACTTGGAAATAAAGTTTCGTGGAGGTCAGGCATGTTCTTGAATATACAGTGGATGGCACCCTTAGCCTGCTTCGGGGTTCCAGTCTGAGAAAAGTTTTTGCAAATCGGTGCCAATTCTTCCATTAGTTCAGGAAACTGTTCATCTGAAAATGAGATTATAATTTTTTGTTGAAATTATAATAGTATAATACGCTATAATAAATATATAATGGAATTGGCTGATACTGTATATACAGGGTGTAACTGAATAAGTGTAAAAAATTTAAGGTGATTCCTCATCGAAAAAAAGATAGGATCTTTCATATAAAGAAACTTCATTGGAGCATTTCTAGTTGCCCATTAAAGGGGTACATAAAATTTGTATAACAATTTTTTTCACAAGCACTGAAAAAGTTACAATATTGAAATTAACCTGACGTTTTGTACTACCAAAAAGACACTTAGCCANTTGAAACTGCTTGGGATCGGATGTTGAAAGGTAGGTTCCCGACTTATCGACTAAACGAAATTAATTTCTGCTTTTCATAGTGGAAAATAACTTGCGACAAATCTTCCAAATTGATGTTTTTACTTCAACTCTCTACGCGGCATTAGCTAGGTTAGTTGTTGTTTTTCCGTCAGGTATCTGCCACATGTACCTACAAAGTTGTAGGTCTACATGAGCGGCAAGGGGTAAGGTGTTGTCACCTGAACCTGGGGCATGTCATATGCACCTCTCCTGAATAATAATCATTATATGTATCATCACATAGCTCTATGCTTGCTCTGTTCCACTCTTAGTTCGCACTGGTCACTCTGTTGTTCAGGGCCCATATTTATATTGTATTCGGTCTGCCTGACCGAGTACCTGAGTTATTTTCAGGTATCTTGCGCGACAACAAAGTCCTCCATGTTTGTGGTAGTCTCTGCGAATCATCTCGCTTGTTAACCCTTTCGGTCACAGTGTAGTCAATTGACTACGTCAATTTTTCAAAGCCCGTATGATCTTACAAACTGCTTGCATATGTTTGGTTCATATTGTAGTCGTTTAACTACATTATAACAACATAATGTAAGACCGCAGTGCCATCTAACAACAAAGTTCGGGACAAACAAAACAAAAACGTTTGCTTCCTTCAGGTGCCTGTCAGCCATAGTTTGTCGTCACAGTAATACTTTTCTATGTACTCGTAAAATGCCACAATTTTCAATATAATTGTTAGTTCCATAGTTTCAGGAGGTTCAGTAGTAAATGTTTGGTTAGATAAAGTTGTGTTATTTACTGTGTTGTGGAAAATATATTTGTCGAAAAACAGTTGTAGTTATTTGACTACTTTGTGACTATACAGCTTTATTGAGGTATGTTTTTTGTTCTCAGATTATTGTACAGTTTCTTGAAACATTAATTTTTAGAAGCTAATATGAGTCAAAAACGTCTGTTAACTTACGAGGAACTTGTTGAGTTGGCTGATAATTTATCAGATATAGAGTACCTTAGTAACGAAAATGATGAGTTTACTGATCGAGATACACCTGTTGAGCAAGGTAAATTGTGGTATTTTTTATTCTTTTGCAACTTTTATGTAACATATGGTGCTTTATAGAATCCGATAATATTGAAGATGATGTCAACCTTGATGTTGAACCTAAACATGAAACCTAAATCGAAACTCCGTTGATTGAGTTTATGAAGGAGAATGATTTGACTGATAAAAAAAAATCAAATGGAGAAAGAATGTAAAATTTTTGACTCCGGAGTACAGATGGAAGGAAAAGCTGCCAAGTGAGGCAGTGGAACTTGAAAGCCCATTTTATTTTTTCAAATTGTACTTTACTGAGGAACTATTTGAGACAATGATGCAATATACTAACTTATATGCCACACAACAGAATTCACGATTTGTTTTTACATCTATCGCCGAGTTACACACTTTTGTTGGGATCCATATAATTATGGGAAACTTACATTACCCTCGAGTTATGTTTTATTGGAATACTTCATATTCTATAAAAGTACCCATTGTTGCAGATAATATGGTTGTGAATAGATTTTTTGCAATAAGGAATCATTTGCATTTTGTCGACACACAAACCAGGGACGTCAGATAGGTTTTGGAAAGTGAGACCACTTTATACAATCAGAGCTAGATGCTTATCGCTACCATTAGAATTGGAGCTGGCAATAGAACAAATTGTACCTTTCAAAGGCCGCTTAGATGTAAAACCATATATTAAAAATAAGCCCAATCCGTGGGGCATAAAGATATTTGCCATATGTGGCTCCAGTGGTATGTTATACGATTTTATAATTTACCAGGGTGCTACTACAGAATTGGATGCCACTGAAAAAGATGTATTTGGGTTAGCTGGAGCAGTTGTCTCAAAACTAAGTACCCGTATTGATCAAGTACCTGTGAAACTTTTTTTTGTCAATTTTTTTTCCAATTATAATGTAATCCAATACCTTCAAAATAAATCCATTTATTGCACTTGCACTTGCTTGTAGTGGCTAGAATCGACAGGTTTAGGCAACCACCACTGGAATCAGATGCAGTTATGAAAAAGAGAGGACGTGGAGCCATGGAAGAAGTAATAAGTGAAGACGGTCAGGTAATAATGACCAAATGGTTAGACAACAAGCCACTGTATATGGCATCTTCTTTTCTGAGCATAGGTCAACCTGATCGTTGCAAACGGTGAGACAAAGTAAAAAAAGAGTAAATATTTATTCAACGGCCAGAAGTAGTGAGGATTTATAATAAATCCATGGGAGGAGTAGATAAGTTGGATTTTATGATAGCAATCTACAGGACCTTTATTTGTTCAAGGAAATGGACGTTGAGGATGTTTACACATGCTATAGATACGGCATGTGCAAATGCCTGGTTTGAATACTAACCGTCAGAAGGCCGCAGCCCATGTTGCGGAAGCCCTAATACTCAGCAACAAAACGCCAAACAAAAAACGGGGCTGCCCATTTGCGGAAGCTGAAAATCACCCGTCTTCCTCAAAAAGGTTACAAGAATTACGATCTGTGCGGGAAGTACGTTATGATGGCTTGAACCATTGGCCTATACATGAAGAGAAGAGTTTCCCTTCCCGATGTAAAATGGATAAATGCAAAGGTTTTTCAAGAGTAAAATGTCAAAAGTGTTCAATACATTTATGTTTGACAAAAACTAAAAATTGTTTCCTAAATTTCCATACCCAATAACACTAAGTTTTTGCATTTGTATGAATGTAAATAAATTTGTATCCAACACACTTTTTTTTTAATGGGACCAACATTATTTGTTCACAATGTAATCAACTGGCTACATCTTGCAACCCTTAATTAGGGGTACGTACAAATTTGCAAATGTTCTTAAAAATCCTTAAAAAAATAATTCAATCACTGTGCAAAAAATCAGTAACTGAATTTTTTATTTGTACAATTTACGATAAAGTTTTCATTGTTGGTCGGTAGCCAAGCGGTTCGGTGTGGGTGATTTGTTCACTCACTCGAATTGACTGCCGTGTTGGTCGGTGGTTCAAGCCCTAGTCCGAACGATCGATCTT